TTATGCTGACCAAGCCCCAACAGATCCAAGCAACGAATGGAAGCATGCAGCCAAACTGTTTGCTTCCCCGCATTGCATTCCCTCACAGCTTTCCGTAATCATCTGCTGTTTACCGAGAATTCTTGAAGAAATCCTCAGAGCTCTTTCATTGTGTGACAATACGAGCGGCTGTGATAAGCTGCGCGGCTCATCAGGACTCTTTAGACTCGCATGTGTTGTTTGCATTTGTAATACGACGGGAATATTTCCAGATAAGAAAGGCTTCAAACTGCGCTGTGTACCGCCTTGTCTGATGTTAATAAAAAAAATAAAAAAAAAGTTCCCAGCTTCTGCTACTTCTGCGAAAACTCAATAAGCTTAGTGAAGGGTGGACTGGGTTTATTAATGTGCATCAGTTTGGGGAGATGAACTGGCATCAAGTCAATCTCTTTATTCTTGAACTCAGTCTGACAAACATGACTCCGGTCTGCAGATGTAAACCATGCGGCGCTTTCATGACTAAAATAAAAAGCATCCGCAGTTCCTGTTTTGATGGATGTGAGCAAAGTTTTTGCCAAAGACGATCACAGGCCAGTTTGAGGCGGTAACATGATGTTCAGTTGCATATGCACATAAAAACGGTTAAAATTACAGAATTTGGACCGTTAAAAAACTGATGGCTGCATGTTGTCCACACTTATGGCTCAGTTTGGTCCCCATCTTAGTTTTTTAAATCAACAAAGTTGTTCATTCACTTTGACTTGAATATATGACGGCGACATGAAAAGTATGGAATTTAATAGTCATGTGGTTCTTAATCGTGATCTGTTAAATTTATCTTATGGACGTACTGTCTATATGCCTCTAAAAAATGCGATGTGTTAAAACAGCGCAAAACCGAGTTACTAAATCAAACCCGTGAGTATTTTTTATAAATTATTTTTTAAACTTTACCTTGCGTTCAATAATGAAGTAGTGATTTCAAGAGTTCAATGGAAATTAAAAGTCCAATAACTGCGCTGTTTCCAAAATCTCCTTTTGCTGTACTCAACTGATGTAAAACTTGCAAGAGCAGCAGAAGCTATTTATTGATTAATGCAGTGACAGCCTGTTAATCACTTTACTGCATTTTGAAGTCCTCGTGACAACATTCCTCGCAATATTTGCTAACTAAGCAATCAACAGCAAAAAAGTAAAGATTTTTGAGGTTGCATACAGAATGATCTAAGAGGAGCTGCGATACTATTTTACACAAATGGTGCTGATTTCATTTTTGGTATCTGAAAACATTAATCATACCCCTTGAGCTTTTCCACATTTTGTCACCACTGTCATATTTTTAAAGATTTAGGACACCCAGATCATAGTGGAACTTATAAGTCTGAGTACAGCCTTTCTTAGAAATAAAAACATTCCCCCGTCTCCACATTAGATGCTGTAGGGACCAAACCGGTAAACCCGTAAGAGCCCCTGGCAATATTGTGGCTTCTCATTCCTAAAACCTGCTTTGTAAGATGATTTAACAGCTTAGAGTTGATCATAAACATGTTTTCTCAGCTTTTCCTGCTCTGAAGCATTTCCCTCAGGAAACATTTATTACTACGGTCAAAACAGAGGTTTCTCGGTTAACATTTAAATTCGCAAAGTGTAAAAAAAAAAAAAAAAAAAAACCCATGAAGAAGTGACCCAATTCAGATGTGCGATCGTTAATCATCAACGTTTAGCATTATGCTTTGGTTAATGCACCCTTTTAACTTGTCACGTCATATTTTTCATGTACACACTGCTATACACTTGGAGATATTTCTCCTCTTGTCCTTGCTTCCCAGTTCTACAGCTCTGCATGCTCATACAATAGAAGCACACATTTGCCACATCGACAACTTTGATGCAAGTGTCAAGAGTTGGTTCTGCCAGCTAAGCAGCATGACAGAAATGTGATCCTGCCCCTGGCTACTCAGCCTTGGCCAATACCGGTAACCTTAAACTTAAATGAATCCGAGCAGAGAGGGGTGCTGGATTAGGTTTATCGTCATAGGGGATGAAATGCAGAGGAGAGGAGAGGGCATGCAGAGTTAAGAGAAGCAGCGGGAATGACGTGGGGAGACTCAGAATGATGTGCAGGTACAGTAAATCTCTGTGGGTCATAAATTCTGGATAAAAAAAGACCGGATGTAATAAATTTTTTATTCGCTCGGCTCCGTACTCTAAATCTCCACACTATTTGGTACAGTGCGGTGAAATCCTGATCAAACATTGCTGTTGTACAGCAATGTTTGTAAATGTAATGAACTTCCATTCCCCTCAAAATTAACTTTCAGCATAGTTTCTGTAAAGTGTATTTTTTTTAGTTACCTTGTTGGTTGCTTCCTCAGAATTTGCATTTAAAGAACCACACTTACAACAAAAGTAATCTCATATGTAGTTACATTTTAGAAAACGCACATCCTAAACACTGCTGACGTAGAGCGACCCAGCTTGGGTCAAACGTGGACCGGTTCAGTCCTGAGCTGATTTTACACGAGATTGGGCTCTAGGTCTGACCCAATATACAGACCTAAACATAGGTTAATAAAAAAATATAATCTGCATAAGAAAACAAGTAATATGTTGGTTAAATTAAGTTTAATTCAGTGTTATTTATTTTTTTAAATGAACCGTATACTGTCTTATAAGCCTTTTAATATTAAACAGGTGAATCTGAATACCAAAATTCATCCTCGGTTTAAAATGCAGTATGACATAATGCATATTTTTGCCCAAGTAGGCACATCTTTGCTTATAACTCCAAAGTGACATTAATAAACAATGCAATGGAACTTAAATTACAAATTAATATATAGCTGCTTGATTTGTAAACACTGATTTTTATTGCCAGCTGCTACCTCTTACTAATATACACAATAAAACTTTTATTTAAAAAACAAACAAACAAAAAAAAACTGTTAAATTTAAAAAATAAAATTGTCACTTTATACGTAACACTGAATAAATATTGCAGTGAACATGGTCTGTTCTGAGTGTTTGATCGTTTTTATGGTCAAAGTGTGAATGTTGAACAGATTTGGCCAGCTATGTTGATCATGAACTTTGACTAAAAAGCCACGTGAATGAACAAACAAAGCACTAACCAGAAAAACACCCAAAGGGACCCATTGTCATTTCGGACAAGTTGCATATATTTACAGCTCTCACAGCTCTCAAGTGGATAAAAGACAAAATGTTAGAATTGGACTTTACTAGATTTCTATCAGAAAGCTAGGTTTTACACAGCATGCTACCATTTCCTGGAAAACAAACAAAAAAGACATTCCTACTGTGTTTTTGTTTTCATTTGTCCTTTTAAGGCCAGTATGAAACACCACAAATAAAACATTGTATACCAACACTGAATGTTTGACTCAATTACTAATCTTTAAATGATAGTCAATTCATGTTATAGTAATTATGAGGTCTGAATTTCCATTCCCAAAATAGCCATATCACAAGCTTTTTCCCCAGTGCATGTTAAAGACCTGCTTGTCAGTACAGTTAGCAGAAAAATAATGATAGGGATTACTTTGAAACCTCTGTAGAGAAGCTCTTATATTTCTTCCTCTGCTGCTAATGAACACAATTAAGAATGAAACTGAGCTCATTTTAAGCTAAATTGAACCTCATTTGCCTCTTGGCCTCATGGGAGTCTCGCCCCTCAGCAGTGTGGAAAGACCACTTTGGACATCACTTCCTCACTTTCCCCATATTTTCTCTGCTCTTTGGCTGAGCTGTGGAAATCAATTCACCTGCATAAGGATTTTATTGAATATTCCAACACAACATAACTGTTCCATGTTAATGAACAGTCACATGTTTTCTTTTTAATGTCTACTCCATCCTTTGCGTTTTTTGAGATTCTCAAACCTCCATTCAAATGAATTATGTGCCTGTTTACACTAAGGGTTTTTCCTGTTAATAGGAGGTTTTCCTTTCCACTGGCGCCACAAAGTTCATGACTTATTGCAATTAATCATCCACTGTTATCATATATTAACTTTAAATGAGGGATTGCTGCAAAGTCAATGCCTTGAACCAGCTGTCTGAGTTTACCTCTTGGCTTAATGAAATCATAAATTCTGTTCCCAAGCAGAAAATTCTGAAAGAGAACGTCCAGCCATCGGTTTAACTTAAACTCAAGACCACTAGGATTATGCAGCAAGATGATAATCCAGACCCCATCAGCAAGTCTACCTCGGGTGTTCTTAGAGTGATTTAATCTGGATTAAGGTACGACTGAGTTAATGTAGTGTGACATCCAATTGAGTTGATTTAAAACAATTGTGTAAGGAAGAGTGAACCAAAGTTCTTTCACACATGTTTCTCCACACAGATTTAAGAGACGCATTGCTCACAGAAATGCTTGATAGTAGTTGCAAAAGGTTTAGGGGAGCAATTACTTTTTTGCATATTTTGATGGTTTTTCCCCCTAGTATATTAAGTCATCAGTTGAAAACTACTTCTTGTATTTACTAGGAAAGTGTGCAATGCTACAAAAAAGTAGAAACAATTTTTTTTTAACGGGACAAGTACTTTTTTTCACTGTCTTGTACAAGATCGTACTTTTTTATATATATACACTGCTCAAAAAAATAAAGGGAACACTCAAATAACACATCCTAGATCTGAATGAATGAAATATTCTCATTGAATACTTTGTTCTGTACAAAGTTGAATGTGCCGACAACAAAATCACACAAAAATCATCAATGGAAATCAAATTTATTAACCAATGGAGGCCTGGATTTGGAGCCACACACAAAATTAAAGCAAAATGTTCCCTTTATTTTTTTGAGCAGTATATATAAATTGAACGGGAAAAAAAAAATCACCTGATTGTATTCAAATGGTTCAAGATCCGCTTGTGTGCTTCATATGCAGCTGAAGGTTCCGCTCTTAAAAAATAAACATTTGAAATAAGGAAACTAGCTAAAATAAAGAATCAGTATTGGAACTCCTCGTTACCCTCCTCCCTCCCCGCCTCTCCTTCTCCTCTCTCTCCTCTCCAGTCAATGCGTTGAGGCAGCAGCAGGAATCCTGCGTGTGGTTCAGTGGCTGGAGGACAGCAGCAGCAGCAGAAGGAGCAGGATACATCCCCAACCGAGCTGACCTGACTAACATGATGGAGGCTGTGAGAACCGTGGCTTGCCTGTACCTGCTGGTGGGCGTCTCGCTCCAGGTGGACGCGAAAAGTGGGAAGGAGACGGCGAGAGACGGGAATTTCATGGAAGATGAGCAATGGCTGTCAACCATCTCTCAGTACAGCCGTAAGACCAAACACTGGAATCGCTTCAGAGACGTGAGTGCCGTATTTTCTTCTGCCTTTATACCTCCGCACTGGCGCTTTGGACGCACCTGATGGGGTAAAGCCGCAAAGTTAACTCTCGCCCCCAAACTACATACACAACACTGCGTTTTAATCCGAATTAGTCGCTACGAAAGAAATGTTTAGAGATTATAATTTTCATCTTTTTAGACAAGACTCCAAGTCCTAATAAGCGCGCGCGCTCTCATGTCCGCGCCCCTCCAAACTAATGAATGTGATGATTTTACGCACTTTTACCCTTTTTACATAAAAGATTATATATATATATATATATATATATATATATATATATATATATATATATATATATATATATATATATATATAGACTGGCACAAAGTGTGACATAAATGTGAACTGGAGACATCATATGTCTTTCACTCGTTTTTGACGTCAGAAGATGCATTCTCCCCCTTTGAGCCTAGATTTTCTAGAACCACCTTTAGTCCTAAGTTGTAAAGCTGCCAGACTTTTGAAGGTAAGGTAAGGTAAGGTAAGGTAATTTTATTTATATAGCACATTTTCAGCAACAAGGCAATTCAAAGTGCTTTACGTGAGTTAAAAGGAAATACAAACAAAATGGCAAACCAAAGGAAAAGAGGAAAGGACACATTAGGGCAGATGGCAACATTCAGACAAAACAAAGGGGCAAAACAGAGACATGCGTGAAGGCGGCGACGTCAAAGTCATGCAATAAGCCCCTGGCATAGTCCGATAGAGGTGTTTGTTATCGAGGAATGATGTCCTTAGGAGCACTCAGCTTCACAGCTCCATGGAAACAGGAGGGGGTGAGGTGGGAAGAGTGTTGTGTTTACATATCTTCAAGGAGATTAGAAATATGCAGCCCTTCCAAGGCCACACGGGGAAAGCCAATTCATAAACAGAATGTCTTAGGTCGGGAAGATTATGAATTTCAATCTTCTCTAAAGTCTCTCCAATACATCTCAGTTCCCAATCATTCAAATTAGTTTGGCCGTTCCACTGAGCCAAAACTAGCAACTGCTCCAAGATCGATTGCATCTGGTTAGTGAGTTTTAGAGTCCTCGTCTCTGTCCACACCAACAGTCTTAGTGATCGCTAGTTTGGCCAAGTCCGTCACAAATTTGTCACTAATCCAAGAATCCACAAGCTCCAAACAGCAGAAATCCTGTTATCATGAATAAATCCAGGGAGAATCCCGCGGGTGCGTCCCCGCAGGACAAGAGGGCTCTCCTGTGTCCAGACTTCTCATCGAAAATTTGATCAATTGGATTGAGAAATCAGTTGACCAGATCCATAATCTGTAGATTTGGATGGTGTGCAAAGAAAGGCTCCAAAAATATAGAAAAAGGCAGGACAAAACAGAGCAAGCAGGGCAGACAAGGGCAGGGAGGGAGCAGAGAAAAAAAGCGTCCGCCCTCATCGAGAGCAAGAGAGAAAGTATTGAGGTATGTCTCTGCCAGTTAAGGCCATATACGACTGATGTTTTGTTCATTCTTTGTAAAATCCGATTGGAAGATCAGTGTCTTTAAAAAGCACGTATCAGGTCTTTCCAGATAGACCTGAATCCCAATTGAATTCCCAATTGGACTTAGCTCCAGGCTTTTCCAACACTGATATGTGTTGGTGTTGAAGATGTGAACCCAAATAAACAAACAGGACATAAACATCATAAGGAAGCACACAAGAACCAGGACAAGAACAACAGTTCTGGGGAGAATCTAAGGAGGAAATGAAAGGAAAGATGGCTTATGGTTACTCAGTATCTCCAGGAGATAGTTAGTTAGTTAGTTTTAGTTAGTTAGATCCATTGTTTCCCTACTCAGTAGGGAAACAATGGATCAGTATACTGAGTAGGGAAACAATGGATCTAACTAACTAAAACCTAGAAACAATATCAATATCAAACAATATCAAAAACCAACATACACAAAGAACAGAACTTCAGAAAGAACTAAGAGCTTAAACACAAATTAATTAATTGGAATATGGAAATACCTAAATAATGAACAACTCAAAATACACACAATCCAAAAACATTGAAACATAACACCTAGCGATCATGACAAACATGCTGTTATCACACCACTGGCTGTATGTTTAGGGCTGTTGTCCTGCTAGAAGGTGAACCTGCTCCACATTCTTGGGTCATTTTGCAGCCACACGTGTTTCTTCCAGTATTTCCCTGCATTATGTCTTGTTATCAATTCTGAATCGTTTACCTGTCCTTGCTTAAGTAGAACATCTTCAAACAATGATGCTCCCACCGCCATGTTTCACTATAGCTCACTTTGTCTCTATGGTATGAAAATACTCAAAATACCTTTTTTGGCTTCGTTGATCAATGGCTGTCTTCTTGCTATTTTTCCATAAGAGCCATATTTGTTGTCCTATCGGTAAATTCTTCTACCTGAACAGTGGCTCTATTGTAACCTTAAATGTTTTGTTTTCATAAGTGAAAAATCATCATAATAACATAAATTAAGGCTTTGAAATATCATTCTGGATGTTGTTAACATATATAGTGTGTTCCCTTATTTAATTGAGCTACTGAAGTAAATAAACTTCTTAACATTTTTAATTTATTGAATATGGCTGTCTGGACACAGAGCATTTAAGGAAATCATATAAAAAACAATCAAAAGGTAGAAAGAATGTCTATTAAATGTTGAAAAGTGAATTTATGCCAGGTTAAGTTATGCTGTCACTTATTTTTACCTGAAATCTTCTAATGTAATGACTGAACTGACTTGTATGTTACTGTGTTTAAGTGTTTTGAGAAGCTTTTTTTTTTCTTCTTAGGAACCATAAACCCAACTCAGTATTTCAGGGTATGCAGTCTGATGTAAGGTGACCTCAGTGTGACAAAAGACCGACGAATCTGCGGCATAAACTTCATGTTTAAGATCTCTTTGGAGAAGCCGGTGAGCAGTCTCAAATCCGTGCAAGCCTCCACCTTAACACCCAGCAGCTGTTTGATCTCACTGCTGGGAAATATCAGCTCAGGCAGATAGTCTTATCAGTGTCGGCCAGAGAAAATTTCCAGCGTCTTCTACCGCCTTCGGTGCTACGTGAGGGTGCTCGCGATGTCCGCACAACTGGGTCTCAAGAGAGTTTGTAATTGAATCGCAAATCTCAGCCACCAAGCAAATTTGCATATCACCCCTCCAGGTGCTTGAAGCAGTGTGCCTCACCTGTCTGTTTGGATGAGTGTTTGGCGAACTGAAGGGTTGAACAGATTTGGGATGAGGCCTCATGGTGGGGGTTTCTGGCAGGATGCCCACCCGCAATATCCTGAGTACATTTGTTCTTGGCTGTAAAATTTACCTCCAGTCCACTTCAAATTAGAAAAGGCAAACAGGATTTTCTTTTGGAACATTTTGACCGAGGCTGAGTGGGTCAGACCATTTATTGCATTTATTGTCCTTAATGAATATCGGAGGTTTAAGAGGGAGTGCTTGTACAGCTGTATCTCAACAAAATACAATATCAATAAAAAGTTAATGTCTTTTAGTAATTGAGCTCAGAAAAAGTGAAACTCATCTATTGTATACACTTAGGCCTATATTTCAAGTATTTCATTTAACATTAAAATTTGGTAATGAGTCGAATTTTGAATTTTTATTAGCCATAATCATTGAAATTAACTGGAACAAAGTGAAGCTATGAGTTTTCCGTTTTGAATTTTGTCACTGAAATGAATAAATATCAAATCTCTGATTATATTTTAGTTTATTGAGAAGCTCCTTTGTTTTTGAATCAGGAACTAGTTAGCAAATATCAGATACGCTGGTCAAGATATTCCTTATATACAATGTCTGGTAGTTCTTTAACTTACAATTTACTTTGCAGTGTTTAAAAAAATGAGAAAGATTATAATAGGTGTGAAATTCATCCAACTAAAATGTTAAATAAAATGAATATAACACTTAAGACCATGAACATTCTGCTTTAACCTCATGATTTTCGAGTATCTTGCTGGATAATTTTATGTGCTCTATGGCAATTACAGTAAATCTTAATGATTTTTAAGAGGTTGTCAGATTAAATTGACTTTAGTACATCCGGAATCCAACACACTCTCTTAAATGTCAAATAATAATTAAACAAAGCCCCTCTGTTGATTAGTTTAATTGAAGTTTTATTAATCTATTGTGAATTTCCTTTGAAAAGTCATGGATGCGGTAGGTTTTTGAATGTCAGCGAGTTTGGTAAAATGCTGCACTGTAGCATCATGACCTCTTGTTCAGGAAATGGTGGCATTTCAGTCAAGAAAAGTAAAAAAAAAAAAAATCCGTCTTCGTTATCAAACAAAACGGAAAGGAAGAAAAAAGAGAAGGGTTGGCTGCAGCATATGTGGAGATGTGATGCTGTGAACAGATGGGTGTGCTAGCTTGCGCTCAGACAGGACTGTAATCTGCTGTCCAGGGCATTGAAATACTCCGTCTGAAATGTGAAGGTTGCATTTGTTTACCTTCTCGATAAATATGAGGTGTGAAAAACAGATGGATTTGTACCTACATGAAATAAAGACAGGATTAAAAAAAGTCCTTGTTGACATGACATGATAAACACAGCACATCCATCCGTCCGTCTGTCCAAAAGTAGAGCTGCTTTGCCTCTATCTACAACAACTCTTCACTCAGTGGCAGTTATAGGGTCTTAAAAATGAATGCAGTCTCATTCATTTTAAATGCTGTATGTATATATGTAACTATTTGACATTTGTCTGCTTTGTATAGTATATCTGAGTGAATCTGCTAAGAAGCTCTCACACCATTGCTCAAATGAATTGCTGTGTACTTTTTTTTTTTTCAGCCAGATTCTCCCATCTCTCTGAGCATTGCAGATAGGGACCTCATTAAGAAGCTCTGCAGACTCTTAGCCCACTAAAGAGCACTGTTTAAGATTTCCACCTGCCAGAGCTGAGTCCTGGTCTGTGCCAGCCGTGGTTTTACTGGTGGAAATGTAGAAGATGTTTTTTTTTCAGCTGG